TGTTAGTTCTACCAGTATTATAAATAACATATATGATTAAAATTGTTGCAGACAAATATTATTAAATTGCTTTATAGGTTAAACCATTTACGATAACATGAGGATAATTTAAACTCCGTTCTATAGAAGACCATATTCAGTTCGCGTATATCTGCTAACTTCGGTGCAGATTTCGCTATTTAATACCAAGGAAGATCATATACACGGTGGGCAAAGATATCTAAATATGTAATATGAGTGATACACGACAAGGTGTATGTTGGGTATAAAATAAAATATCACTAGGTATATTCGTTTAGAACCGGGTAAATTATCACTGCGCATGTGCATTATCTTCAATTTGTAAGAGTAGGGAACCAATCAGAGTAAACATGCGTAAAATTAACGAAACTTATCAGTGGATAAATATGACCTTGTGTTAATGAAATAATATGTTAATACATAAAAAAATTAACGGTTAAATTATACTTCACATACTATAACATTATTTTGTAAAAAAATTTAAATAAGTAACAAAAAATGTAGTTTTTAGCATTCTTTTTTAAACATAACACAAGAGAGCGCTAGTGTTGCGTGCGTCTTCGGCAACACTGTGTAGCCCGCGAAATAGTTTTGGGACGTTCGAGAAGCCAGGAAGTGGTTCGATTTCGCGGGTAGACGATAGTTCGTTTGGCTTGTGGAGGGTAATAGAGAGGAAAATGGCGATGGCAACAACTCAAGTGAAGGGAAGTGGTTGGCCAAGAAGAGCAAGTAACAGTTCATTCGAAGGGAAAGTGGTGCAGAACCAGTCTGTAACTATCAACAGGACAGTTAATTTGTAAGTGATAATCAGTATGTGACTTAATTACATTATTTTTTAGAGTTAATGTTTTGACTGCCTCTCCTGTAGAACAACTATGGCCGGTTAAGAGACGCTAGCAATTAAAATTATGTTCCTAACACCTTTCAATACATCTTACATGGTACAACCATGAGACGGCTGTTCATCTTTTCGTTAAGTATCTACGGAAATTTTAAGCAGCGCGCTGAAATTATTGCTTCGGTTATCGTATAGCGTATTAATTATTTATCTTTGTGTATCACCGTGTAACATAACCAATTACTGTAATATTTCTTGGAATCTACGATAAACGATTTTTTTCTAATAAATTTTTTTTAACTGTATTACGACTGTAATATGCTTAAAATTTCCTGATATAGAATAAAATTATACCTCCTGTGCTTCACCTGCACACAATATACAATCTTGATTAGAGAGAAGCTGAAAACAAATTTAATTTCTATTACATTATATTTGTCAATTTATGAAAGCTGTAGCCATCGTATATATGATGTACGTTGGCCTTCTTATATATTGAATGTATGTTTGCGTACAAAATGTTCTGTTATTTTTTTACAGTCACTGTAACAATGTGACTATTGATTTGTAATGCGTATATACTTGAAAGCAGTTGTATCATCACTGTTATTTTCACTTGTACATTATGAATTATTTTTATGTCTTGTATAAAATGAAAAATGTACAAAATAATTCTGCAAGTCGGATTGTTATGCCCTAAGACTTGTACACTACCTGTAATAATTAAAATTAATGTTCTTTGTATTTTTTTTTATTAGTAAATTGGCCTATCACTTTTCATGTAAAGTGCAATTTGCAATAGAAGATATTTTTGTATTTACATTATCATGAATGTATTTGTCTCAGGTAGTTGATAACTGTATCTAGTTGTTAATCTAATAAAATGTGCATTGATATTACAATCATTCTGAATAATACTTTATAAAAGGATAAAGTTAATTTAAAGTAGTCTTAATGCATTCTAAGATTGACATCTTTTAATAATGCGTTATTGTTAATATTTCATAATATCTAATATGACATCAAAAACTGTATTATAACAATTACATATTTACAAATATATCACAAAGCACTATTTGATACTTATAAGTAGGTATATTACATTATTTATATAATGTAATGATTCAATTATATAGGTATAAGTATTTTGATCACGTTTTTTGCATTTATAATTATATGGTACTTAAAAGTACCACAAAGAATTAGAAGATATTTGTATATAAAAAAGTGACTGTTCAAATTTAATCTATAATCTGCAGATCATATCATATATGTGATGATAATAAAAGTTATAAATATATGAGTATAATATAAATACATGTATTATGTACTTTAAAATGAATGCTATAAGTACATTTGATAAACATAATGTAAAGATGTAATGTTATAAGTAATATACTGCTTTGTACATATCAGATTAATTTTTGTATGTATAGTTACTATTTTATAGTTAAAAACCACATGTATGTGGTTATTATTGAAAAATTTGCAATTATATAAGAATATTGTTTAATTTATGTGGTTCCTTGATGTACATTGTTCAACATTGTATCTGTATACCAGCTTTGTAAATTTTACAGGTATAAATTCTTTTAATTGCCATTTGTTCTTAATTATATTATATATAAATATACTTTGTGCAGTATATATATATAAATATAATATACATCCTTAAACATAAAAGTGTCAAGCAAAATATTTATTTTTATATTATAAATCTGTATGTTACTCTAATTGCTTGCATGAAAAATTATATTTTCTGTTTTGTATAAAATGTGGAAATTAATTATTAAGGTTACCGGGTGCAAAATTACATGCTCAAACTATCTAGTGCATTGTGAGTACCTGTATAATCTTCACGATTATATATTGTAAAATTCTTTGTGAGAATAATGTTGAAGAAACTGGATTTAGTTACTGAAGGATTACATAAAAAAAATAAGAACCTAACACAGAAATAAAACTCATTTATCATAGATATCCTTTGACAAACTATACATTTGGAACAAAAGAGCCACTCTTCGAGAAAGATCCATCAGTACCAGCAAGGTTTCAGCGCATGCGAGATGAATTTGACAAAATTGGAATGCGGCGCAGTGTAGAAGGGGTCTTATTGGTACACGAACATGGATTACCACATGTCCTCCTTCTACAATTGGGAACAACATTCTTCAAATTGTAAGCATAAATTTTACTTGTAAACATTTAATAAAATTCGTGTTTTCTGCATTTATTAAATATTTGATACATTTGTTTTATTTTCCAGGCCTGGAGGAGAATTAAATGCAGGAGAAGACGAGGTAGAGGGCCTAAAACGGCTCCTAACAGAGGTAACAGTTAGCACGACGCCTTATGCTACCTTACAGGGTAGCTAGGAGTGGCACTTTGATATGTTAGATTGTAATACTGACTAGGAATCTATTGTATCATTCCTACAAACATTTGTAGAACTTATGTAACCGGGCCTGTAGCTCAAAATAGGGATTTTTTAAGTTATTATGTTAGAATTTATACTTTTAGTGTGCTGCATGCCCGGACACTTTATTGTTTATAATAATCTATTTATAATGTGTTACATTATATGTATCATGGTTAGCTAAGAACATTGTTCTTATTTCACTCATAGGTATTAATTCAGACAGAAAAAGGCAGCGGGTGAAGATTGTATGATTATAACAAGAAGATTGTAATGTACATATCTTTTAACACTTTGTTGTCATCTGTTGACAAAACGAAGGGAAAAATGTACTAAATAATACGTATAGTGTTACAGTTCTCATTAGAAATTAATTAAAATATGCAGGGTCCGTAATTTTTCTCAATATGGTTAATAAGCAATTTTCAGATTTTAACTTTATACATTTATTAAATTTCTAACTGAAATTACAAACGTATGTACAACAGCTGTTTCATTTAATTAGGTATCTGTAAGCAAAGGATGTCGAAAGTATTTGGATAAATACTTCTGACCTGTGTTATTGATTATGTAGTAGTTACAGGAACATGTTAGGAAATTGTTGATTAGATTGTTAATAGAATCGATAACATTATACAGCCGTTTTAAACCTGTAAAAAAAAACTTTTGTAACCATGTTCTTAGTGGACTGAGCGAAGAAGACTGTCTTGTAATATCTATGAACGAAATATGAAATTAAAAATTTTGGTAGTACAATATTAAAATAACTTTTAGACATTTGGACGTCAAGACGGAGTTAAACAGGAATGGGTGATAGAAGATACCATTGGAAACTGGTGGAGACCTAATTTTGAACCGCCACAGTATCCCTATGTACCGCCACACATTACTAAACCAAAAGAACATAAAAGGTTGTTTCTTGTTCAGTTACAGGAGAAAGGTAATACTTTGTTACAAGAGTTGGAAGAATTATTCTATACTCGTGAATTAAGATTATGATCAAGTTCTGAATTTCCAGCTCTATTTGCAGTACCTAAGAACTATAAGTTAGTTGCTGCACCGTTATTCGAATTATATGATAACTCTCAGGGATATGGACCAATTATATCTTCTTTACCACAGTCACTTTGCAGGTATATGAAATAACAGTCAACTAAAAATCATTAAATACGTCTAATCATTTTCTTCTAATATTTCATTTTATGTTTCAGATTTAACTTTATCTATATGTGAAAGAGAACCTAAGTGAGAAAGTGGAGTAAATTTTATTTAAGTTCATAGAAACTACTACTAGTACATGTATGTCTGAGACGATGAGTGAAACTGCAAAAAAGACTTGTGTTCTATGTATAATATGACGTGCACTACAAATTAAATCATTTTTTAAGTAGTACTTATACAATTAGCACTTTTAATCTCTAATCCTTATATTTATGTCGTTTATTCGCTTCGTGTTTAACGATAGCGATTATATCAGCGTTTAGTCTTAAGCTGTACATATATTGTTATATTTCATCGTTTGCATATAATTGTAAAGCGTGTTTATTTTATGTTCTAAATTCTCTACAGAAATCTATTTAATATACATATAATTTTGTGACAAATATAATTTTGTAAAATCGCAATACAATTCATAAAATGTCATCTTTGAAAAATTAAACCTTCGATTGATATGAAAATTATTGTAATTTTCCTTTCATTTTACGACTAAAAAGATATGGAAATATTAAATAGACATTATTTGATAAAATAATGTAAAAATGTATTGTAAATGTAAAGTACAAATTAATATAATCTGAGACTGAAATTCTGATTGGAAAAATGATATTGATACTATATTCCAGTATTAAATATTGTATTTTAATTAAATAACCAAAAAAGATGCAATAAACATCTGTATGTAAAAGATACGTGATTACATTTATTATTATATTGCTCTATGTCATGGTCATACAAATTGTGTTCTACACAGGTAGTTCCGCCATTTTGTATTTGATAAGGTATCTAAAGAACACGTGTATCTGACGTTAAGAAATGTCAGATTTTGAAATGTGATTCAGAATTTATGTTTATTGTAACAGAAAAGTGTATGTATTTGTTAAGAAAATGACGCAGAAAGGTACATACATTATGATTATGAGAAAGGTACATATAAGAACAATTACTGCATATGTTTTATTCGAGATCGACAAACTTATCTTATCTTAACCTGAGCTTATGACATTTCTCACCTTCATTTTGTGCATCATAGATACAAAAAGTGGAAGATACTTTGAAAGACTCCATGTATAAGGTTGATTTACTCGAGAAGAAGCTTAAAACAAAACAACTCACTATAGAAAGTCGGGAGCAACTAGAGACAAAACTAAATGAAATTAAAAAGGTATTAAAAAAAAATGAAGAAAAACTGAAAAGATTAAGAAAGCAAAAAAGTACGTTATTCATGGTAGCAGCAGGCATGGTTTTTGCATGTTTTCTGTTTTATGGATTGTACTTAATGATTTATTTAAAGGTATAATTTAAAATTTTTACACATATGTATATTAAAGAGAATATCATATTAACAAGTACTTATGTATTGTTTTTATATTATCAATAATGATATACACTGCCATAAAAAAAAATAGATTTGTATCGCAATATAAATTTTTATACTTTACATGTTCTATTTTATATCATGTCGGTCTAATGATATTATATGATGCTGCATTTATGGCATGATATGACTAGGATTAGTATTGCATTTATAACAAAAGCAATATTTTATTCTCTTAGCTCATTATACAAAAGAACCTATAATATAAAATATAATTGTCACAATTAGTATGTAAATGATACGAGAAAAGGAGAATTTTTATTTATATTACTTTTATAATTAATATTTTTGTAAAATTTGAAGAACATTAGTCATCAGACTATTACCGAAATAAAGAATGTATTTTTAAATACAATATGTTACATCAATTTTGAAAGTGTAGCCCGAACAACCAGATCATACTGTGGTGTACCAGCCTGACGACTTTGTATGTATTTAGCATGAACTTCGGTATCTAAGTAACTGCACTGAACCGCAGGATTTTCCTTCATAGCAGATTTCCACTCCAACTGAAATTGTAAATAAAACAATTTGTAATTACATGTACACGTTAATTTTGTAAGATGGATAATTTTACATTATGATGTATAAATAAATTTTTAACTTACCAGTCTTTTAAAACGATCTTTAGGTATAATAAAATGATCTCCACGTAGAACTTTAATTATATCTGATCTTTCCCACCATGGCCAGATCATGAAGTCCACCATTCCAGGAGATTTGCCATTAAAGAATGGTGTATTTCTTGAAGTAAGTTCCCTCTCAAAAACTTCTAGTTCAGTTAATGCTTCATTAAATACATCACGATCTGAAGATGTATTGGCATAGCACTGAAATAAAAGTACTAGCAATTTTGTACATATAATATTTTATGGTTTTTCAGAAAGTATATACAGTGAAGTCTCGCTAACTGATGCTTGTCAATCTAATCTTGTTACAAGTTCCCCTTCACAAGGACTTTAGTCTGTAATAGTGACATTCACCATTTCATTATTTGACTGAGAGGCTAAAGGTAGTGGAAGCAGACTAGATTGAACAAGAGAATGCTACATAAGTAAATACACATTAGAAACAAATACAATGTATGCACAGGCAAAAGTGAAAGAACTGTTTCCCAGTCTGCACATTTTTCTGTTTCTAAAGCTCTGTGCAGAGATAGTTAATGAGACTGCACTGTATCAGAATTTCATATACCTTATACATAATATTTATAACATTATTAAATCTAGAAATCAACAGTTTATCTTTAGCCCTGGCTAGAGGGTCATCAGGATAAAGTTTATTCTGGGGATATACATCTTCCAAATAATCAGCAATGATAAGGCTTTCATACAATGTTTCTCCACTCTCTAATTCTATACAAGGTACCTTACTCAAAGGATTCTTCTCTGCTAACCACTCAGGTTTATGAGTTAAATTTACATAAACAACATCATATCTGTAATTAGAAAATTTTTTGTAATTAAAACACCATTAAATAATAGCTACTGAAAAGGTCCATAAGAAATCAAAACAATTAATGCTGTAATAAATAATAGACTTATTTAGTGTAAATGAATAAAATCCGAAATATAAACAGTGTAGGAGGAAGTATGATTAATGACATAATAAGCTAGATAAATCAATTTACTTACGGTATACGTTTCGCATCGAGTACTAAATGAACTCTTTGTGCGTATGGACAAAATCGCATACTGTATAAACGTAATTTTCCAGGAACAATGGGTGGGGCAACCGATCCTGGAACACAATAAAATAAAATTCTATTATTGTACTGATTTCCACTAATGATAATATGGTCTCACCAGTCGATAAATGCTTAGAACTCATTTTGTTTGTTCCGTTAATTACAAATTCTTAAGAATTCCTTCCTATAATTTTTGAACTTCTCCTTAGCTGCGATTAATGTTTCACATTTTCTTGTATCCAGGCGGCCTAATAAACATTGACAGCAGTTCAAGGTTCTCCGTATAGGCGTAGGTTACCTGCAATTAATCCAGAATAATCTCTTTCCATAATTCATGCATAAAATTATCATGTTTGTTATTATAAAGCGTTCTTAAAGTCATCTCAATGGCGAGCTATTGAATTAATGCTTCGAAAGCGATAATCGTTTTCCGCGCTTTTCTAATCAGCGGAAAATTTTCAACCGTGGAAATTTGAAATGTATATCGATTCATGATAGACACTTTTCGATCAGAAAGTTTCTAGCTTGTCACTCGGAAAATTGCGTATTTTCAGGTAGATAGGAACTTTATTGTTTCAATGTTGGTTATAGAAGTGAGGAACATTAGCGCCACCACGCATGTTCTAGATTTTTCAAATATGGTTCTCCGGAGGTGCGTAAGTAATAATTTATGTTTTATTTATTTTATTTTGATTTAATTACCTGATATTATATTAGTTTACTTCTTTTACATCGATTTTGATTAGTATTGTTAGATTGAGATGCATGTGGACAATTGCGGAGAGAATCTATTTAAAATACGATGAAATATTTTGGAGGGAATTGTAAGCGATTGAAATTGTACGTTACATATGCGCCATACAATGGTGGAATAGAGAAGGTAATAAATAGATAATAATTTCATAATGTGTCATACATGATACTTTAATTAAATTAGGACAGGAATAGAAAGGCTACAGCGAAATAATAATTCTATAATTATTTGAGAATCAATTCGGAATATAAATAAAGCCTTGTTTATGAAGTATTTGTAAATGTCATTGTAAACATATTAATGGCGGATGTGGCGATCTATTTTGGAGGGAACATATTGGTAGATAAACAAAAGCAAATTTATTGCACGATATAAATTAAATTGGGGATATCGGAATTTAGAGATATAAAGATATAGAGCACAGACTCGAAAATTACGTTCAGTTAATATTATCAATATTGATATTAATAAATGTCAGTAATTATAGTAAAGGCCACCGATTCCAAGTTTTTTTTACATATAACCGCCGGTCGGTGAAGGTCAGTAAAATGTACTCTTATTAAAATATCTATTATATTCAAGAAAATAAATTCAGAGTGCTAATCACTAACAGCTCTTAATTTTTAGAAACCAGGTTACCACGTCGAAAACCTGAAGAAAAGATGAAGAAAAAGGGGTTAAAGTCGATCGGTTTCACTCAACCTTTATCAAGCTGCAGGCTCTTGAACCACTGTAATAACCGTACACACGGAGAGGATCAGAGGGTAGTACCGCTTAGGTAAGTGGTAGCGTGGAGGGCTCGCATAGGTGGGGAGAAGAATGGTGGTGGTAGCGGACGAAGAAGAAGGTTCGAGGGTAGAAACTCGGGTCGAGGAGCGAGGTTATAGCTAGGAGGAGAAGGAGAACGAGGAGGAACAGCGCGGGCGCTGATTGGTAGCAGAATCGATTAGCCGAGCCGAGCTAAACCGGCACCGCTTCGGCGACGCCACGAATTTCCCGAATGGGGGTTTCCCGTTGGGGCGGGCCCGAATCCAGGGAATACCCGGCGTTCACCATGGCAACCCGACCAATTCGCCAACCGCCGACAACCGAGGATGACCTACCGTGTGTTGCTTACTTTTTTTTCTCTTCTTCCTCCTTTTTATTTTTCCCGTTCCTCCTGTTTCCCTTCCGCGCAGTCCCTCAATCCGCTTCTCGTTTCGTTGCCTTCCTTTGTGTCTATTCCTCCTTTTACCTTTGTCTCCTTTTTTCCAGGTTTCGTTTACGCCTCGAGAAGGAGAAAGACTGCAGCCTTCCTCTTCGACTACCTATGTGTATGCGTGTGTGTGTGTGTATGCGCATGTACGAGTGCACAGATACCAGAGAGAGCCACATTGATTTTGCCGACGACTGATACAACCCCGTCGGCACGTTTAATTAGAACATGGCGACTTTAATACAAGCGCACGACAACAAGAACAACAACAGCGCCCCTTCCAACCCCACCGCGCTCTTCTGCTCCTCCTCTTCGCTCGTCACCGTTCGCTCTTCGTTCCTTGTCCATTTTCTTTAAACTCCTCGCGCGGAGGAAAAACAGCCCGCGTCTTTCGTTCTTCGATCAAGGTCTCCGCGTCTCCCGCAGCTCGAAGGGGTCGCTTATCTACCTAGCCTAACGCGGTCTATGCTAGAGTCAGACACCCCTCGTCCACCCTCTCATCCATCATCCTCAGCTTCGTCATCGTTACGATCATTCTGTGTTCCAGTTTGAGAATCACGCCTCTGCCATGCACGCTACGCTCGTTCGCGATTCGACTGTCTCTTTTTATTCTTTCAGTCTCACATAATCGTACATGCACACGCACGCACACAGGCATACGGATCATACACAGAAATACATTCTCGCGCTAAGACTATGATCCCTACACGCCTACGCTACACATGAAAACACCCTATCTACATTAGAGCCCGTCGACGTTCCATGAAGCCATCGTTGGAAAGCCAAGTTCCGAGGAGGCGTCATTTTGGTCCAGTCTCGGAGAACCGTCGACGCGATGCACCCCATGGAACGCTCGACCGGTTGGTGTACTAAATCGTTAGAGTAATTCTAGGGATGCTTACGAATGGTATTATACAATATACGACTTAAGAAGTAAGTTGTTTCTTCGATTGGTGTACATTGAAGAGCAGGGTTGCCTTTTATGGGGAAAGCGATGGAAGAGAAATAGGATTCACCATTTTGTAAATTTTCAAATTTAGGAAGTTGAGAAGTTAGAAAATTTGGGATTTGAGCAGTTGGAAATTTGGGGAATAGAAAATTTTGAAAGTTAGGAATTTAAAAATTTAATTTTTAGAAATTTGGGTCTTTGAGAAAATGTTTCAATTCATAAACCTGATTTTCCAAAATCAAACTGTAGTGGTGATGTACCCCTTAGTTGTCCTTATCCATAAGAAGGCTACCTTGCATCCGAGTGTACACCTTTGCAACGGGGTAGGTCGCCGTCGGATCAGTGCCAGGTGGACCACCGTTTCTCTGGATCCACCGTAATGGTTCCCGGGTATTCCTAGTGACCTACCCCTACGTTTGTACATAGATAGAGCGACCGCATCTCTCTGAAGTCGGTGAGAAACGACGGCGAACGCGGCTCGGGATTTTTGATATGACTCGACGCATTGTACTTTATCAAAATCTCGATCGTTGCGATTCGAGGTTGGACCGACGGACAGGTTGGCTCCGGGTTCGCATTCTGTTTATTCAATTTTCACGGTGTCGTTTCACGACTGTTTCTTCTCGTACCAGGTACTGGGACTTCAGCTAAGACGAACTCGATGAAATCGAGAAGAGGAAGATGAAGGGGAATGAAACTTCGTGACTGAATCGTAATAACGTACAAATTTCGTTGGTCGCTCGCAGTTAACACCTTACCGACCGTTTGCAAATAAAATGCATAAACATATTTTTAGTAGGGTAATGTATGAGCTCTTGGTTTTTTAAAACATCTTCTTCAATGCATTTTATTCAAGATGCTATTAAATAAAATACACTAAAGTTATTGCATACTGAAATGATAAATTGAACAATACAGAGAATATAAAACACTTGAATATGTTTGAATATAAATGCTTGGTAACATAAAAATATCACTATGGAACAATATTCAGTAGAATTTAATTATATATTATGAAAGTCTTTTAGTTATCAGTAAGAATAATTTAAATAATAATTTCAATATAAAGCGAGTGGTTAAAAGTTAGCGATAATTTACTTTATGATCAATAGTTGACCTTAAAAAGTTCAGGTTGGTAAGGTGTTAAGTCACACACACACACACACAGTCCTGAGTAACATTGAAACACGTTAGCGCGCACTTCGTTGTAAAATTGTTGCGCATGGAATAGAGAACATGAAACGTAGCGTTTGATTTGTTGAACGAACGTGGTGTGTCCGTTGAATGTGCGCCAACTACGAGCAGCGTGTCTCGCGATGATTTTCACGAACGACGACATGCGGTTTCTCTATCTACACTTCGTTATGTAACAAATAAGTTAAAAGAGTTTATAATACACGCATTACTCTTGGCCCGAATCGAACATGTACACATTTTTTTGGAAGTAAAGATACGTCTTCGGGTTTCGTTAGAACCAGCTTTCTCGTATGATCCTTCTCTTGATTCATTGATAAGCGAATGAATGATGAACGAAAGTTATCTCCGTAAAAATGAGCATGTTCGATCCCATCCAGTCGGAAATGCCGACGTTTCTCAGCGGAAGTACGCCGGTTTGTTATTCGCGTACAAGGCGACGTCCTCTCGAACAGGATAATTCTCGACACACGGTTTATTTTATCTCGTGATAGGTTAAAATCAAGCTGCAATGAATTAAGAATAATTGTGTGATATCTTGATGCAAAATAAATTTGTGAATTTATCTGCGAACATAAATTTGTTCGCGAAATAAATTTTGCGGTTAGGATGTTGACACTTTGATGTCACTGTAACATTTTTCGTTATTTCACTTTCGTTCACTTTATCGAATGTTAATCACAATTGGGAAACTATAATCTTGCAACTTTTGTCTGCGAAATGAAACTGTTAGCATAACTGTAATTTCTTGTTGACATGCTATAACCTCACCGGTTTATAACCTCGATTATGTCCATGTTCAAGGAATCTAAGAGCATTTGAGAATTGCACCGAAATAGTCAAAGTGTCGAATAAAAATTTGTTTCGAATACCGACGAGATAAAACGACTGACGAGAATCGTCTTGCGAACGTACCCTGTACTTACGTAATCCATTATATTGTATGTACAACGTTCTTACAATAATTCGAGCGCGCCGTCGGCCATCAACGGACGCATCTGGAACGATCGATCCACGCTGCCAAGGAAATGGATCGAATGATCGTGACAGAAAGGATGCGTTGATCTGATCTTGTCGTTTACGTCCTTCTGCGCTTTGCAACTCGTTCATTCTGCGTATTCCATCATCGACTCATAGCGTCCCTGGTATTTTCAAACGGATTCAGGGTTATATTGTAATATTATTCAACGCGTGGCAATTCTATAGGTAGTTATGCTGCGTCTGAGATTGCTACACGTGGAATTACATCGCACTGAATTTACGACGCTTGGAATTATAGTGCATAGAATCACGGCGCATGGAATTACGATTTGCGTGGAATTTAGAACGTATAGAATTATAGTGCGTTGCATTACGCCACGTAGAATTACAGCGTGTGGAATTACAACGTGTGAAATTATGATACGTGGAATTATAACGCGTTGGAATGCGACGTGTGGAATTACGGCACGTGGAATTATAATGCGTTGAATTGCTACGCGTGGAATTGCGATGTGTGGAATTACGGTTCATGAAATTATAACGCGTTGAATTGCGACGCGTGGAATTGCGACGCGTTGAATTGCAACGTGTGGAATTACGGCACATAGAATTATAACGTGTTGAATTGCGATGCGTGGAATTGCGGCACATGGAATTATAACGCGTTGAATTGCTACGCGTGGAATTGCGACGTGTGGAATTATAACGCGTTGAATTCCTACGCGTGGAATTACGGCTCATGGAATTATAACGCGTTGAATTCCTACGCGTGGAATTGCGGCATATGGAATTATAACGCGTGGAATTGCTACGCGTGGAATTCCTACGCGTGGAATTGCGGCACATGGAATTATAACGCGTTGATTTGCTTCGCGTGGAATTGCGACGTGTGGAATTACGGCTCATGGAATTATAACGCATTGAATTGCGACGCGTGGAATTGCGATGCGTGGAATTACAACGCGTTGAATTGCGACGCGCGGAATTGCAACGTGTGGAATTACGGCTCATGGAATTATAACGCGTTGAATTGCTACGCGTGGAATTGCGACGTGTGGAATTACAGTTCATGGAATTATAACGCGTTGACTTGCGACGCGTGGAATTGCAACGAGTGGAATTACGGCACATAGAATTATAATGCGTTGAATTCCTATGCGTGGAACTGCGGCACATGACATTATAACGCGTTGAATTCCTACGCGTGGAATTACGGCTCATGGAATTATAACGCGTTGAATTGTGACGCGTGGAATTGCAACGTGTGTATTTACGGCACATGGAATTATAACGCGTTGAATTCCTACGCGTTTAATTGTAATGCGTAATAATATAATCGAAAGAAATGAAAAGGTAAGCATATCACCACGTAAAATCCATCGTGTTTAAAACATAACGTAATGTCGACACCATTCATCTTCTCATAACGCAATATCGTTTCAGATCGGTTGGTAATCCTGAAGAAACGCAGAAGGACTAAACCTGATGACATACGGAAGATCGTTTCGCCGAATAAGAAGCCGACGGCACACCGTAGACCGCGATGTCTGCGGTCTCAGTATTCTCTCGGTAGAAAGTTTTAACGTGGCGTACCCAGAGCGCCCCAGTGTTCGGCGGTGGGTCATGCGTAATGGGGATAGGTGCCCAGATGAGGCGGCACATGACCGGAGGCCGTGTGGTGTCCCGCGTACAGGTTGGCACCTGGACTCGTGGACCAGTAGCTGGAGGCCGATTGGAATAGGCCTCCTGGAACGGAGACCGACACGGAGGCGGCTGGCGGTGGCATCAGGTTCAGTTTAGCGTGACCGTAGCCAGACATAAACAGCTCGCTCTGGTATTTGTACGCGGCTGGGTCCGCGGCTGCCGGCTGCGTCGCCGCTGCCAGACCCTGGAAGTCGAATTTGTACGCGTACCTCTTCCCGTGCACCTTTGTCATGATGTTCTTGTCGTAGTAATACCTGCAAACAGAACAGGCTGGTTCGAATACACCCTGAGGATCATTCAGGGAGCTGTTAGCGGATCAAACGAAGTTACGTGTTCATTCTTCCTTTATAGCCAGGGGATGTCGAGAGTCAGTGGGAGCCATTTTCTGGGTAACACTGGGTTAGGGTTGTTACGTTGTTGGTATACTGATTATTAGATTTTATTAGTGGGGTCAAAGTTTATTTTCAAAGCAAGCTGTTTTGTAAAATGTTTGTGAGTTTTTGACTAACAATTAGATTGACTGGGTGTGTCAATAAAATGTACACATACTGTTCAATAATCTTGCTGTCTTATTAATCAGACTGTTCTATTAATTTATTTAATGGTTTCAGTTAGAACATTGTGACAGAAAGGCAACGACATCTTATCTTATTAGATTGACTGTGTGTTTCAATAAAATGTACACATACTGTTTAATAATCTTACTGTTCCATTAATCAGACTGTTCTATTAATTTATTTAATGGTTTCAGTTAGAACATTGTGACAGAAAGGCAACGACATCTTATCTTATTAGATTGACTGGGTGTTTCAATAAAATGTACACATTCTGTTCAATAATCTTACTGTCCTATTAATCGGACTGTTCTATTAATTTATTTAATGGTTTCAGCTAGAAGCATGTAACAGAAAGACATCCACGTTATCCCAGGATCACAGGTCAAAGAACGTGCAGTAAACAGTCAATGATGTTAAGTGTTGCACCAACGAAAAATAAAGTCAAGACTCGAAGGATATTCGAAGCCATAAGCGACCCTTGCATTTTCACGAAGCTTTGAACGTACCACGAGATATGATCGAGCGAAGTCCACGGACGCGTTCTGCCATAAAGTCGCGATTTACGAAGCCGCTAGGAAACGACGAGGGTCGTAAAAATCCCGCGCAACCACGGAGTCTTATTTAATAAATTCCATTTGCCAGCGTCGATAACGGTGCCGCTTCCGCTACGACGGAAACGCTTTTCATTTTTCTATTTTTTCTTTCTTTTTATTTTTTTTCGTCGAGTTACCGGGCGCGGCTTGCAAACTTCTCGCCCGGCACGGGGGACGGAGAGAAATAGAGAGAGAGTCGAGCAGTCTCGCGTAATATAATCAGTCGATCTGATCGAAAAATAATAGCCGCGTCTGCCGTCGGTCTGACTGTCGGTGATTGAAATTTCTCTCCCCTGCTTTCCCACCCTCCTTTCTATACCATGGTTGCTCATACCGTTTCGTTCAACGAATTTACTTTCTCCACCGATCTTCCATGTCTGCGCGCTAAATATCGACGTTTCGCCGTGTTTCTGTCACGAGGATGCGGTTTAATACGAACATTGTCATGACAGTCATCGGCGACACGAATTTAATTCGATTAAATAATTATGGAATATCAAGAGGAATAGATGTTTTATTAATAGTACGTTGTGCGATATAATGCGCGGCTATAGAGCGACGGTATAATGCGCGGCTGTGTAATGCGATGATGTAATGCATGACGTTGCAACGTGTAGATATGTCATGTGTAGAGATACAATACGTCGTGATACAATATGTAACGATATAACGCGTACAACGGAAGTACAACGCGTGACAAACTGGAGGCGTGGCGATACAACGCGTTGTAAATGCAATACGTGACAAGTACAACGCGTGACAAATTGGGGACGTAGATAACAACGCGTAGTAAACATAACGCGTGGCACATACAACTCTTAATAAATGCGATGCGTGGAAAATACAACAGCCGATGTAATTGTTACACGTAATGTATTGCAAATGCAAGGCAAATATGACACGCGACAAACTTCGCGTGCCGCAAATATACGGCGTAGTAAATATGTAACAAATTCAACGCGTGGAAGTAGAACGAGCGGCGATAAAATAATTAGCGATATAGTAAATCATTAGAACGTTTTGCTCACCTCAAAGCCCTCGACAATTTGTCGTAATTCATATTAGGCTTGGACTTCCTTTCGCCCCAACGTCTCGCCACCTCGTCGGGGTCAGTCAACTTGAATTCGCCGTTGGTTCCTTCCCACGTAATGCACGCTGCGTTACTCGAATCTGACAGTAGCTCGAGTAAGAATTGCCACAGTTGGATCTGACCGGAACCGGAGCTCGCCAGACGACTGCTCGTCGCTCCGAACATTTGATAGGGATCTAAAAATCATTCAAATGACGTATTCTTAGAAATAAACTTTACTTCTTTGACGAATATTGTAATTTATAATGTATTTGCTTTGGATATTTTATACACCTGATGTTAGCGACTTGCATGGCAATAGCAGTTCATTGTTATTTATAGTTTTAGAGGTATTATTAAGTTCTTTTGGATTGTTAGAGCCATTAAGAAGTTAATATATTAATTCATTAGAAGATTCTTTTATTTATACTTTTAAACAATACTATTACTGTTAGTATGTAATTTAATTACTATAATATTTTCTTCAAGTTATAAAACTTGAAGATGTAGGATTATTAGTTGCGGATACACTGAATGATTTATAGATTAATTTTGATACTTTGTTTTCATGTTTAATCGTGCTTCTGCCAAAGCGTAAGGCAGTCTTTTTATACAGTATAGTTTTTAGGGTAAATTTTTATTAAGGCACTCGAAAGAATTCTTTTTTATCCCCATATTTCCCCCGAACATATACCTATCCATTACATGGTTGTTTCCCAGTGTTCCCTGTATCGCCCTTTAAAAGCCTTACAATGCGTCATCACCGTCGTTCGCTACTGCTCAGACCTGGAGTGCCCTACAACCGTACAAAAGGATATAATCGCAACCCTACAATAGAATAGAGTTCGTTTGGATCATAATAATTTCAATTGAAGGAAGGAACGAACGAACGAACGACCGAGTGGTTCAAAGGGCGTGCGCGAATGTCTTCTCCGAGAATCATTGTTCAACTGATTCTGAGCATCGCGTTTTGTAACATCAGCTAAATATCTTTTGTAGCTCAGTGTTTTACCCTTAACTTTCAAATTTTTATCATTGTATATTTGTATATTACCATTGTATATTTCAGTGTATATTTATTATTGAATGTGTACATGTCACTGTATATTTCAGTGTATATTTATTATTGAATATGTACATGTCACTGTATATTTCAGTGTATATTTATTATTGTATATATACATTGAATATCAGTGTATATTTCAATGTATATTTATTATTGTATATGTACATTGCATGTCATTGTACATTTTTATATATATTTATTATTGTATGTGTACATTGCATGTCACTGTACATTTCAATGTATATTTATTATTGTATGTGTACATTGCATGTCACTGTATATTTCAATGTATATTTATTATTGAATATGTACATTGAATATCACTGTATATTTCAATGTATATTTATTATTGTATGTGTACATTGCATGTCATTGTACATTTTTATATATATTTATTATTGTATGTGTACATTGCATGTCACTGTATATTTCAATGTCTATTTATTATTGTATATATACATTGAATATCACTGTGTATTTCAGTGTACATTTATTGTTGTATATATACATTGAATATCACTGCATATTTCAATGTATATTCATTATTGTATATATACATTGCATGTCACTGTATATTTCAATGTATATTTATTATTGTATGTATACATTGAATATCACTGTGTATTTCAGTGTACATTTATTATTGTATATATACATTGAATATCACTGTATATTTCAATGTATATTCATTATTGTATGTGTACATTGCATGTCACTGTATATTTCAATGTATATTTATTATTGTATGTATACATTGAATATCACTGTGTATTTCAGTGTACATTTATTATTGTATATATACATTGAATATCACTGTATATTTCAATGTATATTCATTATTGTATGTGTACATTGCATGTCACTGTACATTTTAATGTATATTTATTATTGTATATATACATTGCATGTCACTGTATATTTCAATATATATTTATCATTGTATATGTACATTGCATGTCACTATATTTCAGTATATATTTATTATTGTATCTGTACATTGCATGTCATTATATATTTCAATGTTTCATTCTTTGTAAATTTACAAACTTATCATCAAACTTTTCAACGTTCATACTTTTCAATTCTGAAATTTTTAAATATGTAACTTACAAAGTTTGCAAGTCTAAAAATGTTGAAGTATGTACCTCACATGTTTCTCAAGTATGAAATGTCTAAATGTGTAATTTTGAAAGTTTGTAAACGTGAAACTACAGAATCTGTATCTGATTTGCGACCGTAAACTGTAATTAGCGTAATAGCGTCCAATTGCGTTTTCAAAATGCGAAATCTGTTTTAAATGCAAACCGGAAAGAGCCATCAGCGGAGGAAGAAGAAAGTGGACGAGATTTCAACGACGATTGCTTCGCGACTGCCATAAAAATACATTTGAGCGATTATGATAGGGGACAGACGTAGGCGAATGGGGATGGTCGTTGAATTGCCGGACCTCAAAGGTCGTTTCGCCCGATGAATCCCCTGAAACGTGTGGCGGAGTGATCGCCTTTCGATCGAACGGTAATTCACTTACAAGTTAATAATGGCAAAGGGGCGCGGTACACCCATTTATCCGTTGAACGAGGAATCGAACGGAGGAATCGCTACTGTTTCCACGAATCGGTTCTATCGAATCAACCAGCCAAGAAAACAACCGAACGTATACCAGTGACCCTGTTCGAACTCTAGATCTTTCGATTCGGAATAGAATTTACAACGATTTGCATGGGAACGTTTCATGGACTCTGTTCTATGGAAATTCAATCTGTACGAAATGTAAACTTTCTAGAATCAGACTTTTCGTCGTGAATTAGATGATAATTGTATGCTGATTTCAGGTGGACGAGATTCTTGACTGATTAATGAAGGACTCATTTTTGTGGAAGAGATCTGCTTGTTTACATTCTTGGAAGCTTTAAGACTTGGAAGCTTTATTTCAATGGTAAGCTAGATTCATGAACTTTATTGTGTATTCAAGGTTTTAAACTGGTTTGTTTTTGTTCGAGGTACCATGACCTGGGAGTTCCAGCGTTGTGGATTTTTCTGGGATTTGAGGATGTGGAGATGCTGAGTACACTTCTTCAAGGATTTCAGAATGTTAAGGTGGATTATCAGAAGTGAAGATATATTGATATCAAGTACTATCAGTTTCAAATGACTGTCATCATGATTTATTTAGGATTTGAGGATGTGAAGATACTGGGTACACTTCTTCAAGGGTTTCAGAATGCTAAGGTGGATTAACAGAAGTGAAGATATATTGGTATCAAGTACTATCAGTTTCAAATGACTGTCATCATGATTTATTTAGGATTTGAGGATGTGAAGATACTGTGTACACTTCTTCAAGGATTTCAGAATGCTAAGGTGGATTATCAGAAGTGAAGATATATTGGTATCAAGTAGTATCAGTTTCAAATGACTGTCATCATGATTTATTTAGGATTTGAGGATGTGAAGATACTGTGTACACTTCTTCAAGGGTTTCAGAATGCTAAGCTGGATCATCAGAAATGAAGATATCAAGTATTATCAGTTTCAAATGACTGTCATCATGATTTATTTAGGATTTGAGGATGTGCAGATACTGTGTACACTTCTTCAAGGATTTCAGAATGCTAAGCTAGATCATCAGAAGTGAAGATATATTGCTATCAAATAACATCAGTTTCATTAAATGACTGACATCATTATACTAATTGTAAGCTTCATCAAAAACTTGAACACATACTGGTATTAAATATTGTTAATTTCTTCAAGATTTTGATGGGGTCTCTGCAACTAAGTGTACATGTTGTTACCTTCAAGATTGTAAGAATACACTGATACTAAATTAGTTGGCTTCATCAAACATCCTCAGTCATGAAGATACTGAGTGAGTTTCATTAATAGTCTGGAAACATACTGATTCTACATACTGGTTCCATTAAGATTTTGATGAGGACATACTGCAACTAAGTGTAAATATTGTCAGCTTCAAGACTGTAAGAACATACTGATACTAAATTAGTTAGCTTCATCAAACATCCTCAGACATGAAGATACTGAGTGAGTTTCATTAATAGTCTGGAGACATACTGATACTACATACTGGTTCCATTAAGATTTTGATGAGGACGTACTGCAACTAAGTGTAAATATTGTCAGCTTCAAGACTGCAAGAACACACTGATACTAAATTGGTTAGCTTCATCAAATGTCCTCAGACATGAAGATACTAAGAGAGTTTCATTAATAGTCTGGAGACATACTGATTCTACATACTGGTTCCATTAAGATTTTGATGAGGACGTACTGCAACTAAGTGTAAATATTGTCAGCTTCAAGACTGCAAGAACACACTGATACTAAATTGGTTAGCTTCATCAAATGTCCTCAGACATGAAGATACTGAGTGAGTTTCATTAATAGTCTGAAGACATACTGATACTATATACTAGCTTCACTAAGATTTTGATGAGGACATACTGCAGCTAAGTGTTACTGTTATTAGCTTCAAGATAGTAAGAACACACTGATATTAAATTAGTTAGCTTCATCAAACATCCTCAGACATGAAGATATTAAGTGAGTTTCATTAATAGTCTTGAGACATACTAACACTACATACTGCCAGTTCCTTCAAGCTTATAATGAAGTCACAACTAAGTGTAAATATTATCTTCATGAAGAGCTTAGCAATACACTAATACCAAAATTCTGATATCTTCATCAAGGTTCTGAAAATACATTCATACTTAATACCGTTAGTCTCATCAGAGGTCTGAGTACATATTGATTCATTCTACTTAAAGCTCCAGCAGCTCTAGTTGTATACAAAAGTACAGTATTTAAAACAGTATTAATTTGAACTGACTACAGGTATGTCTTACAACATTGTACAATGGAATCACATGGACATAATGATCCTTTAATATTGGTAGATAAAGTACTGTTTAAGTAGATTAAGTATTTCTTGTGATTTCAGTTTAGTAATTTTTCATATTTTCTAATGACAGGAACGGATTCGTGGAGATCGGTCACGAGCTACTTATTCGAAGCTATTGATCAGTCGGAAAGAGTAATTTTTGGGCGTGGCGTTGAAAAGTCAGGCCAGGAACAGAGGGGCTCTGCGTGATTAGTGACGAACGTAATAATCGTGAAGGTCATTCCGTGCAATTGCTTTGGTGAAATCGTCGACGATTGGGTCACGCATGAATGCTTGCTTTTGTATAGGCTGTGATCATTTCTTTTTTTTGCACGCGCGACTGTGTCTATCGTTACTTTCCTAATTGACCGACAATCGGATACTAAACGGTTCATCAATTATCTTCCTGGTTTAAACGTTGGTTGCGTTACTGAAATATATGGACAGGACCTATAGGGTTTTTAATATTTCTGATCAGTTTAGAGATTTAGTTTGAGGAACAGGAGAACTCTTATACAATTCTTCTTTTTATTTTACTCAATAAAATAAACATTGGTATTACTATTTAGTTAGAACGTTTAAACTGTAATTATTTTTTATTTTTAAGTATGATTTATTTACAGAAACATCAAGAGTGCTATTTACATGGCTACTTCGTTTAAAAAAAGGTGTAGTGCTTTAACTTCTCAAAAATATCTACCTACTACATACCAGGCTGCCTGAGGTGGGTGTGCGTGTCCAGTGCTGACTTGGATAAGCTGCTTCCGTATCCTGTAAAAGAATAGTTACGAATTTATGCGACTTATCTTTCATAATATGGAATCTTTTATACATTTTGGCTGAGTATATCTAAGCAGTGAAGGTAATCATTAGACCGCCATGTTTAAATCACTCTGCAAAACTATACTTCCATTTGATAATTAAATAGATTTCCCTGAAGTAAGATTAATTTACTTGAGACCAACGTAATTTAGAACGTTGGTGAATATTCTTGATCACTGTAGTTATTTTTATTTTCAGCAATGAATTGCGACGCATGGAATTGTGACGTGTGGAATTACGGCACGTGGAATTATAACGTGTTGAATTGCGAAGCGTGGAATTACGGCACATGGAATTATAACGCGTTGAATTCCTACGCGTGGAATTACGGCACGAGGAATTATAACGTGTTGAATTGCGACGTGTGGAATTAGGGCACATGGAATTATAACGCGTTGAACTCCTGCGCGTGGAATTACGGTACGTGGAATTATAACGTGTTGAATTGCGACGCGTGGAATTACGGCACATGGAATTATAACGCGTTGAATTCTTACGCGTGGAATTACGGCACGTGGAATTATAACGCGTTGAATTCCTACGCATGGAATTACGGCACGTGGAATTATAACGCGTTGAATTCCTACGCGTGGAATTACGGCACGTGGAATTATAACGCGTTGAATTCTTACGCGTGGAATTATAACGTGTTGAATTGCGACGCGTGGACGCATTATAATTCAACAACTATTTTTCTAACAAGGAACCCGTCAAGGTATCACTCAAGTTATTAGATAATTACCATAATCAACATATTAATTCCATTGTTATATAAAAGCTAACAAATTTCAGGATGAAGAGAAAACGGTCGAGGGAAAATAGTTGGCGTCGGACCATCGAAGATGAAAAAGTACAAGCTCGGTCGAGCGTTAGAAATCCGTTAGAGAGGATTTCCGTGTAGGCAAACACGGGGCTGAGTGCTCCGTATACGTTTCTCCCCTGCTTCACGTTTCATCGACGTTTCGTTTCCTTTCCTTCGCCTTATCAACGTCGCGTTGGTTCCTCTTCGCGTGTACGCGTGAACAACGCTGAAACATGCCCACCGGTCACGTTCGCGCCACTCTGCAATCTGTTTAAGGCACAATGCCCCTTAATTTCGCCTCGTTATATGCTCTCGTTACGGGAAATCCCCTCTGTCGTCCGGTAATCGCGCTATATCGCTTTGATTTCTACCGTTCGACCGAGAAACGATGAAACTGATCATTTTGAAAATCGATCAGAAGCTGCGAATGTCGTGTCAACGTTTTCAGAAAAACAAACTTAGGTATGACTTCATTTCATTGTCATTCTTTAATCATTTTGGACTCTGATTTATTTATATTTGTAACTGTAGTTGATTTATTTTTATGGGACTATAAATGATTTATTTTTATGGGACTATAAATGATTTATTTATATGGGACTGTAATTGATTTATTCATATGAAACTGTAGTTGATTTATTTATATGAGATTGTAATTCATTTATTTATATGGGACTGTAAGTCATTTATTCATATGAACCTGTAGTTGATTTATTTATATGAGACTGTAATTCATTTATTCATATGAAGCTGTAGTTGATTTATTTATATGGGACTGTAATTCATTTATTTATATGGGACTGTAAGTCATTCATTTATATGGGACTGTAAGTCATTTATTCATATGCAGCTGTAGTTGATTTATTTATATGAGACTGTAATTCATTTATTTATATGGGACTGTAATTGATTTATTTACATGGGACTGTTAGTCATTTATTCATATGAAACTGTAGTTGATTTATTTATATGAGACTGTAATTCATTTATTTATATGAGACTGTTATTCATTTATTTATATGAAATTGTAATTCATTTATTTATATGGGACTGTAAGTCATTTATTTATATGCAGCTGTAGTTGATTTATTTATATATGACTGTAATTAATTCATTCATATGAAGCTGTAGTTGATTTATTTATATGAGACTATAACTTGCTTTGTTGACTTTGTACAGTCACTTAGAAGTTAAACTTCATTTTTCTAATACTGTAAATAATTTATCTGTATAGAACTTTAATTTGTTTTGTTGATTTTGTACAATCACTTACAAAATTGAACTTTATCATTCTAATACTGTAAGTAATTTATTCATATGAAACTGTAATTGATTTATTTATATGAGACTGTAAGTCATTTATTTATATGGAGCTGTACTTGATTTATTTATATAAGACTGTAATTAATTCATTCATATGAAGCTGTAGTTGATTTATTTATATGAGACTATAACTTGCTTTGTTGACTTTGTACAGTCACTTAGAAGTTAAACTTCATTGTTCTAATAGCAAACCTTGTAATCATCATGTAACTATTGATTTGACTTGTCATTATAATTTGACTATTGTCATTATATATAATTTACATTGAATAAAGCTAATGTTATTTTTCTTTTTGCGGTAATAAGAACATCTGAGGAATCCTGCAATTCATCTGCAGAAGGCAGATGCTACCTCTAAATAGCAGTTGGTGTCCGCTGGTGTTAAACAATTTGATTTGGTGTCTGATTGGGACGCGGGACAACCTTGGCCGAGGGTCTGGGACTCGTCGCCTCGGGTCCAGGTCGTGGGGTCCTCCGCAATCAGTATAGCCGCGGGGATACCAGTTAGCCTATGTCAGAACTCTGCCACTATCATAACAAGAAACCCTAACTGGTACTGCTTTCTCTTTCCTTTCATCTTCAATAAAAACTTGTAACACTTCTGTTTACTTATTGTTCTTTTCTTCATTTCAGTTTGGATTATTGAAAAAAGTAAGGCTGCTGTTGCATGGTGAGAGTCGACGAGGTTAATTAAAAATACAGAAAAGAGACAGCTGGTATTAAACATTACAGTTTGGGTCACCTGTCCAGGATACTGATTTGCATTCCTTTTCCAGGTGTATAGTACATTGATTATGTATGAATTAAAACACTCATGAATTAACACAAAGCTACAGAATTTACATACTGTAAGTTTTTGCCTAATTTTGCCAAGGTGTCAGAACTGGTCATAATCTCTACAGTGTAGCAAATGGAATCCAATTAAATAAAAATGCCACACATGAACCTGAAGGTAAAAATAATAAATAACTTTATACACCAGCTTATAAATAATAAATAGCTTTATATACCAGTTTAAGTAATAAATAGCTTTATATACCAGTTTAAATAATAAATAGCTTTATACACCAGCTCACAAATAATAAATAACTTTATATACCACCTTACAAATAATAAATAGCTTTATACACCATCTTACAAAATACTAAAAATCAAGAAACCTTATTTCAAACAATAAAATTATTTTCAGCGAAGCCAGACTAAAGTTTCATGAACAAGTCAACTGTGTCATCTATAACAACAACCTCTCCGACTTTCTTGGTCCGAAGTTAACAGTTGGACGAACGTATCAAAACAAGTAAACTTGTTTCTCGTCCAGGAGTCGAGGTCAGTAACGTAGGAACCGTCACGGAGTTTGTACAATATATGTATAGATTCGACTCGTGTCACCTCGAATCGACATGTTCCTATTGTCACGCGTATATCTGCGCATTCACGAGCAATTACTCGGGGCGGGGTAATCCCGTTAGGCAGCGTACAGCTTCCTCTTCTCGAGGGAGGATCAAAGGATTCGCTATTCCGAGCTACTGCACTCTTTGGCCGCGTACACAATGCTGGGCCAAGCAGCGGGATTCAAGAAGGGAGAAACAGTGGCACCAGCCTGGTACATTGGCGTAGCTGGGGAACTGGATTGTTGAAATTTGCAATGGTATTTTTGGAGGAGGGATGTTGGAGATGGGGTTACATTTCTAAAATCTTAGATTGAAGAATTTTTAAATCAGTTGCTAATTTGTATATTGTTTCTGAAGTCCAAAATCTCAAGTTCCCAAATGACTGAACATTTAACACTAAACGTACCAGCAATGTGTACTTAATTTGAAATTAAAAATGGAGTTAAGAAATAAATAAACAACGAAACTTAATATACACATTAATTCTTTATCTTGATTAAAATCAATGCTGATTTTAAGGAATGTACCTTGACAAAATGTGTATATTATAATAAGAAACTTGTGGAGAAGTTATTTTACAGGTTTGGTAGTTACAGTGTTAAATCTTCAGGGTTCCTAATGCTAAATATCCAAATTCTCAAACTTTCCAATACCTACATTGCCAGATCACCAAATTCTCAAATTTCTAAAGTTCTTGATCTTCACATCTCCAGATTACTAAATCTGCAGATTCAGAAATTGTTAAATCCTCAAATACCAAGATGTTAGATTCCTAAGATTTCCAGACCTTCAAATCTCAAATTTCTGTACTTTTGAGTCCTTAAGATCCTCAGTTCTATATATTCAAATTCTCAAACATACCAATATCTACATTGCCAGATCCCCAAATTCTCAAATTTCTAAATTTCTTGATCCTCACATCTTCAGATTCCCAAATCTCCAGATCTAGAAATTGTTAAATTCTCAAATACCGAGATGTTAGATTCTTAAGATTTCCAAACCTTCAAATCCAAAATTTCTGTACTTTTAAATACTTAAGATTCTCAGTTCTATATATCCAAATTCTAAAACATACCAATATCTACATTGCCAGATCCCCAAATTCTCAAATCTCTAAATTTCTTGATCCTCACATCTACAGATTCCTAAATCCCCAGATCCAGAAACTGTTAAATCCTCAAATACACAGATCTCAAACTGCTTAGATCTCCAAAACTTCAAATCTCAAAATCCTTAGATCTCCCAACCTCCAGATCTCAAAATCCTTAGATCTCCCAACTTCCAGATCTCAAAATCCTCAGATCTCCCACTCTTCAACTCCCAAAATCCTTACAACTCCAAATTCCTCAAATTCCCAAATAAAAATACTTCCACACAGATACATTAATTTTGTTACAAAAGCTAAAGGTGCACTGCAGAAGAATCCTAGCTACGCCAATGTTGTTCCTGCCGATGGTTCCTTGACTCGGAAAACCTTTGGGCAAGTTCCAAATGCGTGGCACTGTTCGGTTAAAGTCGAAGTCTCGCGTCGTCGCGCAATTATCGTTACTGCTCCGCTTCCGTACCTCTCCGCCATTTTTTGCGATTTCCGGTCTTATTGTAACGATTTGCGAATTATGAATATTCCTCTTTTCCGATTCCCTTGTACCTTTTTATCGGCGTCAGCAAAATTGTACAACTTGAAGGATTGTAAAAATTGCGTCAATTAAGTAGAAGCTTATATTCGTCGCGCGATAATATCGCCGTTTAATATTGTTGCGTAACATGTTACTTAACGAAGCAAACGATTATGAAGCATTATTCAAATAGCGGTAAGAAATAACGTACGCAGTTAATCAAAATTTTCATAAACCTGGTAATATTTAATTATTTTCATTGACACGTATCGGGTCACGCGCAGGAAAAGTCTCGCAGTCTTACACGAAACGGCAATTGCTTAATTATGATTAATTGCGACTTTACCGGGAAAAAGATCGCGCTGTAACGCGCGAGGCGATTACGCGATGCGGGGGCCAGAGTGATCCGCCATTAAAGACCGAGTTGCGTGCCACGCTCGTTTTCTTGCTTTCACGCATCGTACCGAATAGATATGATCACTCGACGCTTTCCACGATACATTCGCTATAATTATTCGGACCATCCGCGATTTCTCGTAAATAACTTTATTGCTGCTGTTAAAAATTATACTTGTATATTCAACCCCTTTCTGTTAACAGACCTTCTATAAAAATATACAACTATAATTTTTGTTTGTTCTGTTAACTGTGTTGACTGTTAAATTAACTTCTGTGCATGTATTCAATATTTAAGATCATTTAAAAATATTTGAAAGACTTCATGAATTAATCTTTGTCACTTTCAGGTGCAGTTGTCTCATTTTTGAAAGAGGAAAGGAAATATTAAAGTGCAAACAGACCTTCTGTAAAATGATATACAGCTATAATTTTTGTTTGTTCTGTTAACTGTGTTGACTGTTAAATTAACTTCTGTGCATGTATTCAATATTTAAGATCATTTAAAAATATTTGAAAGACTTCATGAATTAATCTTTGTTATTTTCAGGTGCAGTTGTCTTATTTTTGAAAGAGAGAAGGAAATATTAAATTGCAAACAGACCTTCTGTAAAATGATATACAGCTATAATTTTTGTTTGTTCTGTTAACTGTGTTGACTGTTAAATTAATTTCTGTGCATGTGTTCTATATTCAAGATTATTTAAAAAATATTTGAAAGATTTCATGAATTAATCTTTGTTATTTTCAGGTGCAGTTGTCTCATTTTTGAAAGAGGAAAGGAAATATTAAATTGCAAACAGACCTTCTGTAAAATGATATACAACTATAATTTTTGTTTGTTCTGTTAACTGTGTTGACTGTTAAATTAACTTCTGTGCATGTATTCTATATTCAAAATCACTTAAAAAATATTTGAAAGACTTCATGAATTAATCTTTGTCACTTTCAGGTGCAGTTGTCTCATTTTTGAAAGAGGAAAGGAAATATTAAATTGCAAACAGACCTTCTGTAAAATGATATACAACTATAATTTTTGTTTGTTCTGTTAACTGTGTTGACTGTTAAATTAATTTCTGTGCATGTGTTCTATATTCAAGGTCATTTAAAAAATATTTGAAAGATTTCATGAATTAATCTTTGTCACTTTCAGGTGCAGTTGTCTCATTTTTGAAAGAGGAAAGGAAATATTAAATTGCAAACAGACCTTCTGTAAAATGATATACAACTATAATTTTTGTTTGTTCTGTTAACTGTGTTGACTGTTAAATTAACTTCTGTGCATGTATTCTATATTCAAAATCACTTAAAAAATATTTGAAAGACTTCATGAATTAATCTTTGTCACTTTCAGGTGCAGTTGTCTCATTTTTGAAAGAGGAAAGGAAATATTAAATTGCAGTTTGATAAAGCACATATACTTTATACATGTATTATGTATATATTTTACAATGTTTGACAATATATATTTTACAATTGTTTGAACTGCTTCATGGATAAAAATCTCTGTCTATTAAACTTAAGGCAAGAAACTCAAAGTAAGATCTTCCTCAACTTCTTCATAAATTATAAGGACAATAAAAATTGTTTTAATACATTCATTATAAATAAAATTACAAACAGAAAGATTTTCCATAATCATCTAGCAGTGCCTATAAAACAAAATGTTTTTTAAAATACGTTCTACCAAATTCACCAGTAAAGTACATGAAAATACTTGTTTGTCCAGGATGGTAACGGATGACGTCTTCGAGGTTCGTCGCTTGAACGTCCGGTCGAGAGTCACGTCGAAAACGTAGCAATGGAATAATTTAATAGAGAGAACGTTGCAACACGGGCCAAAACGATCGTCATCGGTTCAATCGTCTCTGAACGAGGTTAAAACACTGGCACCCGCCGCTCTTATTTACGTCCGACAATAAGTCAATTCATCACTCTGCGATTTGGACTTAAGTGGTATCACTGACTCATACGCACACCCGCGTATAATACAACAGCGTCGATCCTATTTCGGGCATAAATCAGTGCGTCGTGTGGCGGGCCGGCCCGTGCGGTGCGTAATAATGAGCAAGCGAGCGTAGCACGCGACCCTTTAGTGTGTTGCTCGCTCAGAAACGAATGGACTGAGCTACCGGGAATTAGCTCTTAGTCCTTATTTCGATATTGAAAACACTGAAATATTGTATGGATTTGTTGGACTGAAGAAATGGAGATGTAGGGAGTTTAGGAGACATTGGATGGTATGCAACAAAGTTTGGATGATACTTTTTTAATGTTAGAAAGATACAAAATTCCAGTCACAGATCCTTGAACTACTGATGATTATAATGTCTCAAGGTTCTGGTGTTTCTAGGTTTCAAACTCCCAAGGTTCCAAACTCCCAAGGTCCCAAACTCCCAGGGTCCCAAACTCCCAGGGTCCCAAACTCCCAAAGTCCCAAATTTCCAAAGTCCCAAACTCCCAAGGTCCCAAACTCCCAAGGTTCCAATCTCCCAAGGTCCCAAACTCCTAAGGTCCCAATCTCCCAAGGTTCCAATCTCCCAAGGTTCCAATCTCCCAAGGTCCCAAACTCCCAAGGTTCCAATCTCCCAAGATTCCAATCTCCCAAGGTTCCAAACTCCCAAGGTCCCAAACTCCCAGGGTCCCAAACTCCCAAGGTCCCAAATTTCTACGGTCCCAAATTTCCAAAGTCCCAAACTCCCAAGGTCCCAAACTCCCAAGGTTCCAATCTCCCAAGATTCCAATCTCCCAAGGTTCCAAACTCCCAAGGTTCCAATCTCCCAAGATTCCAATCTCCCAAGGTTCCAAACTCCCAAGGTTCCAATCTCCCAAGATTCCAATCTCCCAAGGTTCCAAACTCCCAAGGTTCCAATCTCCCAAGATTCCAATCTCCCAAGGTTCCAAACTCCCAAGGTCCCAAACTCCTAAGGTCCCAATCTCCCAAGGTTCCAATCTCCCAAGGTTCCAAACTCTCAAAGTCCCAAACTCCCAAGGTCCCAAACTCCCAGGGTCCCAATCTCCCAAAGTCCCAAACTTTCAAAGTCCCAAACTCCCAAAGTCCTAAAGTCCCAAAATCCCAAAAATCTGAATCTCCAGGTCCCAAACGTCCCAAATATCCCAACATTTCCCAAAGTACCAAAGTCCCATTGGCCTCAAAAAATTGCCAAAATATGCTAACACATCCCTATCAATGTCAGTACGTAATTTTGCGTTGTTTCAATCATAGAGAGCAGGAAGCAGAAAACCGAGCGGATTCTGGCACGGATTTCGCCGACGGAGCGGTGGCCGACGGCCACGAAAACCCGGGGGACACGGTTCGTGGGCAACAAGTCACCGGGAAACGGCGCGTGACCAACACATTCGCCCTGCCAGATTTACGACAATAAAAATGGGCAACAACGAACTCTGCTGATGAAATTATAACTTCCTTCGATTTTCCATGCGACGTTCTCCTTGAACGAGTCTGTTGTTCTCTTTGAAAGCTCGGAAATTGAGATACTGTGCCTTCTAGTGGATGGCAATCGTCTTTTTATGGAGCACTATTTTATTCTTGGAATAAAGAGACTGTAGCAGGTAAAGCGTGAGAGATGCATAAGAGAAGCATGTGTATTTAAACATGTGTATTTATTTAAAGGTTAAGTAGAAATTGTTTGTTAAATGCAAGTTTGGTAGCAATCATTTTTTTTGCTTTTTTACATATCATGTAATATAAACATTTTGCAGGTTATGGTGGATAGTACAAAACAAGGACTTGCTGGAGCTATTGGACATCCAGGTTACTATTTCAGGAAGAGATTATTTGATGGCAAGGAAATGATATAAGTTTAAAAATTGTTAGTTGATACTTGATTTATTAGGTGTACTATTGAGTAGTCTATACTAATATTCATCTAGTTAGGAATGTAGTTCAAATTCAAAATGTGACTGTTCATAAGAGTCATATAACATTGACTGATCATAAAAATTGTGTTAAGTATTCCATAATAAATATTACATTATAGGAATAGTTGCACTTAAAGCAAGGTATGAATGTTATCACAAAATATGACATTACATACAAGCAGAGTATGATACCTAATATATTTTAATAAATGAGAACTCATATACATCTTACTATATGAGACTCATACTTTAATACATGTATGATACTGTGTAAGAAAATTCATACATAGTATAATATATGAGACTCATACTTTAATGCATGTATGATATTATGTAAGAAAATTCATATGCAGTATAATATATGAGACTCATATTTTAATACATGTATGATAGTAAGTAAGAAAATTCATACACAGTATAATATATGAGACTCATATTTTAATACATGTATGATATTATGTAAGAAAATTCATACATAGTATAATATATGAGACTCATACTTTAATACATGTATGATATTAAGTAAGAAAATTCATACATAGTGTAATATATGAGACTCATACTTTAATACATGTATGATATGTAAGAAAATTCATACATAGTACAATATATGAGACTCACATAACCTCGAATTTGTTTCAGTGGTCAAAAAATGTTCAACGAGAAGAATGACAGCAGAGCAAAGAGATAGGCCGAATTTACCCACGATATTATTCTTCAGGCCGCTACAACGATCAGAATAGGAAGAAAGTTTCCCCGTAACATATTGGAAGGGTCGAAGGGACACATCGAAGTCGCTGTCGCGGCTCGTATTGTGTCTTCTCGCTAGTACATACACGGCCACGTGCCTATGCGTGACACGTTCACGCATCGCTGCCCGGCTTTCCACTCTCTCCCTCGTATCGGCCCGTATTCATCTCTGATTTCTTGTTGGGGTGTGCACGGATTGCGTTTCCACTTTAACCGTGCGTCGTTGAACGTCTATCAAGGGTACACGAGCTGCATGCTACTTAACCCCCTGCCCGAACCAACTCAGTCACTAGACGGGTCAATCTTGACTCATAGTGAAATAACATTTCTTATCAACAGAGACTATCATAACTTTATGTAACAATTCTGTTTCTAGGCTTTAGAAGTAGGTAGTAGGTTAGGTTGGTTAGGGGGGCTTTAGATTGTGATAATTCTTAGGATTTCTTTTAGATAGGGTTTTAGGTATTAGGGTTAGGTTTTAGGTATCTGGGACTGTATTAGGTTAGGTCTTTTCTGTGGTTCTTTTAGTATGGTTCTTATGGTTCTTTTAGGTGTTAGAGTTTTAGGTATTAGGGCTAGGTTTCAGGTATCTGGGACTGTACTAAGTTAGGTCATTTCTGTGGTTCTTTTAATATGGTTCTTATGATTCTTTTAGGTATTAGGGTTTTAGGTATTAGGGCTAGGTTTCAGGTGTCCAGTACTTTACTAGGTTAGGTCTTTTCTATGGTTCTTTTAGTAAGGTTTTTATGGTAGATTTTCATCTTAGGTTGTATTTATACTTTTGAAGTCTTCTTCCTATGTAAAATTCTTTAACTAAGTTCCAAA